GTTCTGCTTGACTCTCTTCATTGCCGCTTTCTGGGTCTCATTTTGGCTCAAACTGATACGGCAGTATTGACACCATTATTTACATTTGACCGGAGCACATGCAACTTTCGCCCATCAAGGTAATGGGCGTGAAGTTTCCGGACAACGTGCACTACGCAGTTTAGCCAATTACAACACACCGGCCCAACTAACCAATCTGAGCCCATTGCCTGTTTCTGAGGGAGTGGTTTCATAGAATCAGGAAGTCAACCAGTCGTTCAAATGACAGAGGAGAAAGCGGCTTACAATAAAGGTGAAATTTATGAAAAATAAGGCTTTAAAAAAAACAAAACACGAAGATATGTTAAATTGCACCCCATAAACAAAATCATGCAAAGACAAAAAGCAAGAGGTAAGGTAATAGCTACTCGACGATTTGTAAAATTTTGCCATTTTGAACTTAAAATATATAATTTATGGGATTTATGTAATTTGTGAATCGGTTTTTTTTTTTTTGGCATAAGATTAGTGTTAAAAAAAATATTATTTGCAAATAGTTCAAATACATTACAAAAAAATCTGGTTCTTTTACTATTCTTCTTTATTCTGTGAAACAAAAATAACGACTTTATTCAACAATTTCTTCTCTTCCGGCGCTGTTCAAAAGTGAAGTGCTTCCAGGTTGCTCAGTATTGGCCGGCTCCTGCGTCAGCATCACACACGTGTTGAACGTGAACAGCGTCAGAGACTGACACGGAAGAGAAGAAATTGTTGAATAAAGTAGTTATTTTTGGGGGGTTTTGCGCATAAGAAGTATTATCATCGCTTTATAACATTAAAGGGTTAGTTCGCCCATTTAAGACATGAAGTTGTATGCAATCCTTACCAGCACAATAGTGCATACACACTGACCCACTCTGTTGTCACCTCCCTGGTCAGAGTTCTGGCCGCTGGAAGTTTTTCAATACTCCCGGTTATTTTCCCGGGCCACAAAACTGTGCGTTTTTACGTGAAAAAATGATTTGCGTTTCAAAGCTTGATTAATTTACCACACAAAAAACACACCGGTCAAAATTCATATCTCAGTTTTAATCGGCACTATTTTCTATCCATTTCTATCAATCCGCGCTGCAGTCAACGTCAACAGTGCGCACGTTCCGATCAGCTGTTGATAGCACGACTCGCTGACAACATGTCTCTGACTGCGAAACTTCTGATGATGAAACCAATTTTAGCACAGTGACAGACGGATCAGATGATGAAAGTAATTTTAGCACAACGACAATGTTATTGATTGCAACACAAAACCTCAATTGTGTGTGTGTTCAATCAAATAGTTTTCTCAGCAAATTGTACCAATATCCCTATATACTGTTTTTATATTAGACATCTTTTCACGTGTTTTATAATGGAGTCTAAACATCAGCTTGTTTACCGTAGCCTACAGTTTAGACATGGGATCATAAAGTTAGTAAATAGAGCTTACCCGTGGTACTGGTACAGCAAAACTCTTTCATTTTCCTTTTCCTCCTTGGTTGGGGATGTAATCGTCTTCGCTGAAGTGAGCACTACACACACGAAAATCCTTTATTTTGGGTATTTTAGCTCCCGCAGAGTAGCCGATGGCAACCAGCCAAATCAACAACACGCGCTTGCACCCCCTGCTGGTGAGGTGGACTAACAGCAGATGGAGATTATGCTCGGTAAGCTCTCACAGTTATATTCGAAACAGGAAAACGATGGAATCTGAACTTTGTCCGGCACATCCTTGTGGTCACAGCCTGGGAATTTACAAGTTCGCACCATTGTTAATTTAATACTTTTTACGTCGTTGTCAATCGATTGTGTAAACACTATGGAACAGCTGATCGGAACGTGCGCACTGTTGGCGTTGACTGCAGCGCGGATTGATAGAAATGGATAGAAAATAGTGCCGATTAAAACTGAGGTATGAATTTTGACCGGCGTGTTTTTTGTGTGGTAAATTAATCAAGCTTTGAAACGCAAATCATTTTTTCACGTAAAAACGCACAGTTGTGTGGCCCCGGAAAATAACCGGGAGTACTTTATTGAAAAACTTCCAGCGGCCAGAACTCTGTCCAGGGAGGTGACTACAGAGTGGGTCAGTGTGTATGTACTATAGTGCTGGTAAGGATTGCATTCAACTTCATGTCTTAAATGGGTGAACTAACCCTTCAAGGTTGAACCACTGTAGTCACAGACTATTTTAACAATGTCTTTACTACCTTTCTGGGCCTTGAAAGTGGTAATTGCGTTGCTGTCTATGGGTGGTCTAAAAGCTCTTGGATTTCATAAAAAATATCTTTATTTATGTTCTGAAGATGAACGCAGGTCTAACAGGTTTGGAACGTCATGAGGGTGAGTAATTAATGACAGAAATTTAATTTTTGTGTGAACTAACCCTTTAAATGCTGGTTGCTTATCAAGCATCAAAGATATTTGGATGTTTAGTTTGAACTCTATCTCTGATAAGACTTAGATAAAAGCAATATTTTGCCTTGTCCATGTGCTTTATCAGTGACTTAGTTCATTTCCAAAAGCTGCTAAGATTCTTACCGAGTCACAGAGAGGGCAAATGAATATAAGACAAGATTATGTTGATATTAGCATAAGAACTGTTAGGGTGGATTACTCTGACAGTAAAGACGGGTACTGTATGTGGATGAAATCGGGAAATTAACTCGTACACAAGTGGGTGTGTCAGATAATTTACAGGTGAATACAAAAACCTGGATGCTTGTGTCCTCACTGACAATGAAAAGATGACGAGTCAGTCATTAAATATAAAATTGCTTTGTCATCACAACCAAAGGACAATTTTGACCTGCTGCTGGTAGAATGCAATAGTCAAATGCTTATGATACGATTCTCAGAGAGATTTCTTAAAGGAATAGTTTCCCCAAAAATGAAAATTGTATCCATTTACTCAACCTCAAACCCTTTATGACTTATTTTCTTCTGTGCAACCCAGACAGCAACACAGTGTTAGCCCAGATCCGGCCCACATCTGGTACACGTGGATTCCACACATACCAGATGTGGGCCGGATTTGCGCCGATACTATGTTGCTGTCTGGGAATACAAGAGAAGAATACAGAAACCGAAGAAAGTCATACAGGTTTAGAGCAACATAAGGCGGTGCACTGTAAATTATGACAGAATTTTACTTTTGCAGTGAACTATCCCTTTAAGAACTAATTATCTTTCAGGAATTTTCCTTTTTCCCCTCATCAGATTTATACATGCAGGGAAAAAGTGCATTACATATGAATAAAATATTTGGCATCCCTCGGGTTGGACTGAGATGGTTTACTGAATATATTGATATTAGGCCTAAGATAATTTTTCCAAGAGAGCGTCCAGATCACATCCAAACCAAATAGTCCACTGTCGAAGTATGAACATAAAGAGCTTATCTTTGAACTGCAGACACATACATTTACTTGCATATGTCGACATTTCATTTGAATTTATACTGGCCGATTTGGCAAACGTTCGCTTTTCTAAGGCGTCATGTTTTGACCTTATCTGAATAAATGGGACCAGGTCCCCCCACCCCCCTCTCGGTCCGGCGTCCTTGTTATGCCCTATAAATGAGAACACTTCTTCACACGCTGCTTAGAATTCTGTTCAGTACCTGTTTACCAAACGCATTCCTTAGAGGGGACACCATGGGACTCTTTCCTGGAGTGGGACTTGTGTTTGGTGCTGTTGTGTGGCTCTCTTTTCCGAAGCCACCATCTTTAATGTTGGCAACCTCCCTGCTCCATCGTGCAGCATAGTGCTTTCCAAGGTTGAGACACTCTGTGAATAAGGTCTTAGCGGTCCAAATGGACTAGTTCCGCACGGATAAGCGATGCCCGACCACAACAAGGGGTTCTGTTTCATGGTGCTTCCCAGGGACATGCTCTCCCTGAGCCTTTGCTATTTAGTTATTGGCAGCCTTGAAGAAGCAGAAGTTCAGCCAGAGACCTCTGCGTCACATGGTTTGATTGTGTTGCACATGTTCAGACTCATCACTATGCATTTCTGCAGACATATATAGTTAATGGGGGGGAAAAAACACGTACTCCTTGACCCCTTACAGCTGGTGCATTTTCCTTTTTTATCATCATGCACTTGAAACATTTTCACCATCTGGAGTTCTCCACCCAACTTTTCCCCTCTCTTTTCAATCCAACCACCCCTCATTGAAATTTTCCAGAATCAAACACAAAAAACAGGGGGAGAGAAATCGTAGTCAGCAGCAGTTCAGCTTTATTTTTTCTTGCCTTTTTCCTCATTAAAAGAAAGAGGACGGTTGTGGTACATGAGAACAGTTCTGTGAAAGAAAACTCAAAGCCTCCATAGTAATTCAGATTCAGAATGATTGTTTCAGCATGTTAGCAGTCGTGCCCATTTGGATCAGGACAGAGTGGTGTGGTCTCTCATCCAACCACAGACAGGACATGGGACCATTTCATCTGTGATTTTCATGTGCACACCAGCACCGCATTGACCCAAATGAGCGACTGCGTATCCATCAGAGCATTAAAACATTTCTCTAACATTCAGGAGTAAATAAACTTTTCATCAGCTTTCCTGTACACTGCAGTGAAGGCAAGTGTCCGAACTAAACCCAGTGGCTGAGGCTGCCGGGAACATTTTCCCTTCATTTTTTTCCGGTTTATCAAGAGCGATGAGATTGTTGTGATTGTTAAGTACAATACAGAGCGAATGACTAGCATTAGTAATTTTCGTAATGGGATGCTGAGAATGCTTTATTACTGGTGCAAACCAACTTAACAGTATATCAGGGATGTGAAAGCTGATGGCACATGGAATATGGAAAATGACCGATTGTCAGTTTAAGAGAGGACAGGAAAGCATTACAGGCGCATAAACAGGCCACATATCAAAATAAACATTGAATGTCAATAAAAAATAAATTATTCTCTTTTCATAAAAAAGCTGGGTACTTGTGCTTTCTCTTCTGTTCAGCAATTTGGTTTTCTTTTGTAAGCAATATATGTCACACAAAAATATTGCACACTTTTAACTCTACATTAATTGCAAAGGAACAAGTTATTAATAGTGCATCTACAAATTGTATTGCTGGCAACAATATAATCTCAGAATTGAAGTGCAAACCACATGGTCAGTATTTAGTGTCTATGTTCATTTAATTTTAAAGTGGTTAGGAATGTAGGACACCTGCTGATCATTTTAGACAATTCAGGAAAAAAACTTGGAGCCCAGCCCAAGTGTTTCCACCGGAGCCACCGTTAAACAGTTCCAAAGCACCTTACCCTCGATTTCTCTCTGTCATACAAAAATAAAATCTTTTACCATTCACAGAAAAGGCTATTTGACCTCTTTTTCCAAGAAATTATCGCTTGCCATAGCTCTTCTCTAGCCAGTGCAGAACATCTTTAAGGTTGTAGAAAAATGGACCCTTACCGCCAAGGTAAGCGATTTTATTCTTCTGTACGATGCAAACCCGCTCGTAGGACACACCGTAGGCTACGTTGGCGTTGTTGTCCATGCAATCGGCCACCAATTGACACTGAGGCGGCAAGGAGCAATGCTCCAGAAGTTTCCGGGCAGCAAACATCCTCTCCTCCAGATTACGGTGTTTCCTCACTTCAAACGAAAAGGGCTCCATGGGAGGAGCCGCCCAGCCGTCTGAGGGGTGAGCCTCATCTATGTAGACAAGTAGGAAGTCTGCCACATCCGAAAATTCCTCAACCATCCGCCGGAAAACCGGCAGCTGGCTTATAAATGGGGGTCAAGTGGCTGAGCCGAAGTTGACCACTAGCGGGCGGTCAGGAGACTCAAAGTCCAGCAAGTGGCACTCGCTGTGGGTTTTACCACTGATGCTCCAGCGTCTGTTGATGCCGGGGACCTTCACCACCTTGGAGTTTGGAGCAGCCCCGCCTAGCTTCACCTGAACAAGACAGTTCCACATCCACATGTTAATATGTTGGAGGGTATCAGAATTGTTCCTTATGGCCAGCCAAAGGATGAGTTATGTATGTATGGTTGGTCTCATGGCTACACTGAAATTAACTATTGTGCTTTAGCTTTGTGGGTTTATTGGCCTCTGTAGTTATGGGAACCTAAGTGATGTCACCAGGTTTGAGATCTCACATTCACAGTTGCATAAGTACACATACACAAAAAAAAATCTCGGGAGCTTTGTCACTGCTCAAAACTGATAATGATGTTTTGGGCTTGCAACTTTTACCATCATCTGTTTGAACTTTTAAGCATCTTGTAGAAAATGTAAAGCACATGATTTCTTTGAGCTCACAAAAGACGTAAGTTTGTAGTAAGATGCTTACAGTATGATAATGCCATTCTGTGACTTTATAAGGGCATATGAACTTTGCCACTACTAAACAGCTGGAAACACAAACATAAGTCATCCTATCACTGTGCCAAAAAAATCTTATAGTCTTTGGCATGTTATTTTGCCACTAAATGATTTCCTCAGGAAGACTTTGTAACCAAACAGTAATATAGTTAATGGTTGAGGACAATGAATGCACATTAAGCTAGTTTATTTTACCCCACTAGGTGATTTTTGATTGATTTTTAGTTAAAAAGTAACAGGAATGGGAATCCAGACATTTAATGAATTAAGGGCATTGACTCGAGAGGTCACTGACTGTCTGGAGGGCAAAGTGCATACACCTTTATAAGGATTAGAATTACACTAAATGTCAAGAAAAAAACTATTTGTCGTAATTTCAGGATGTACACCTAATTGTAAAAATATGTTTAACATAAAAACATATTTTCATTCATTTAACTATAATTTCTGTCTTTTGCATTCAATTGTATAAGTTTCCACTTGATTTTCTTTAACAGTGCGTGGAATTAAAGTGGTCGAAAAGTTATCACTTCAGCTTGTATGCCACAATGTTATTGCATGCAAATATAACTAATTAAAATAACAACTGTAATTATTAAACAAAATGTATATTGATCTTATTATACAGCATTTTCATCAACATTAAAAAAAAAATGCATTTCACAGTTTGTGTTCATTTGTAGTAGGTATAGCATAGGCTACTTTAAGTAAACATACTGTACCGTGGACACTAAATTCTAACCAGAGAAATACTTCATCTCAACATAGAAAATTAAATCCCAAAGCCCTCTGAACTTGTGGGATGCAAACTCCACAGTGAACAGACCCAGTGTTGTGCTGTCAGCTTACCTGTTTGTAGGCATCCAGCAGAAAGCTGTTCCATATGGAGCGCACGCCAGCTGTGGTTAACATGCGCTGCCACTCACCCGTGGAGCCCGAGCAGCTCAGGAGCGACACCACACGCTTTACCAGCACTATCGAATCATACAGCACGAAAAACAGGCAGTTGGAGAAGAAACCCGGCAATATCTGCAAAGTTACCAGGAGGTCCACACTAAGCATGCCCATTTCGCGCTGATATATAACAGGTGGCTAACGCGCACTTTTGCTTATTTAAGTTCACCTTTCCGACTCATCCTGGTCAGATATCATCTCTTCTTCCGTCCCCCTCCTAGGAAACTTTCATTCACCTAAAGAAAGCAGAGTCGACTTGAGGATGTGGGCGTTTGCGCGCGGTGAGCCCGAATCTGCTTCTCTCCAAGCATCAGACGTCTTTACGCAAAGAGCGCTAGTACCAAACGTCCCCCTCCTTTCTGCTTTACAGTTAACCAAAGGCTACCCGTTGGGCAGGTTCCTGAATCGCTCTGCGTCTTTTTATACCCTAAATCATTCAGGGCTCTGAAATAAAGCCCGCGGGGCTGGTGGGAGCGTGACGTCATAACAAGTGTTTTCTCTCCGGACAGGACATGCAATAAAAAGATGGAAACAGATTCGGTGCTTTTAAACGTCAGTTACTGGTTACAACAAGAGATTACGTGTCCCTGCATAAAGTGATACGTTTGCATGAAACGTGTAAACGTGATTTATAGTGATATAACGAGATTTATCGAACACTGTCAGTTGATGTTTAAAATTAAACGACGAAGATGGACGGACAGACTTTAGACAGACAGACAGACAGACAGATAGATAGATACAGATAGATAGATAGATAGATAGATAGATAGATAGATAGATAGATAGATAGATAGATAGATAGATAGATAGATAGATAGATAGATAGATAGATAGATAGATAGATAGATAGATAGATAGATAGATAGATAGATAGGCAGGCAGACAGGCAGGCAAGCAGATAGATAGATAGATAGATAGATAGATAGATAGATAGATAGATAGATAGATAGATAGATAGATAGATAGATAGATAGATAGATGGCAAAAAAGTAAGCCCCACATTAAAAGCCAGACCTGTCAGGACAAGGCAAAATATGTATTTGTTTATAACGAATTAGATCATTGTAGATGCTGCAGATAAGTGGATGCTTATCGTTGTTGCGGTCGGGAACAACATAATTGTGAGCTCTGACACACAACACTTAACGCAATACTTACCCAGTGAAATGAGTCAAGGGCTGTGGCCTCTCCCACAAATATTTCTCCATTGTGATTGACAACGTGAAGTCATCCTCAACAGTGTTTGCTCTTGTTTATCACTAAGGTTGCTGATTCCCTGCCAAACTGCTTCTACCGCTTAAGTCTGACAGATTATTTACGTCTAATGACCAAGTTCATATGGAGGCAGCGATCAAAGCTCTTGAATCTCAGGGTCATCACCCTCAGTGTGAATCCAGATATGCGACGAAACGATTACGGCAGCACTGTCTCGTATCCCATTGACCCAGAAATTTCATCAAAGCCAATTAATGTCAGTAACACAAGGATTCCTTTGTCCATTGGTCATTTGCATCTCAAACACACATATCAATCTCTACTTGTGTACACAGTGTTTACATGAGAGGCTGCATATAGTCCTTTTCACCTTAGATCTTTCTCCAAAAGAAAACATGGAGGATAGCAGGGGATGGGGAAATTATGAAAATCTGTTTATCTTATACATCAGCGATTCCCAGATGAATGGTTCTGTAACAATAGCAGGATTGATGAATATTGCACTCCCTCCAGCATACTTTCATGACCAGCTCTTGGCGGGTTGCTCTGACTTTACATTAACCTTAAAGTCTTGCGACGGGTCGTCAGGTTCGTCTCCCTCGCTTGTGTTTGGGTGTTCGGTCTGTAGTGTTTGCTACTATAGTTCAAGAGCTTTCTAACTTTCCAGAGCCGTCCGGGAGAGAGCCAGCAAAGTGTCATAATTATACTTTTCAGCTCAGCCTAATTCATGTGATACGATGGATTGTTGTTTTTGGAAATTAAGTCCTCAAAGAACTTCAGGCAACAGGACATTACAAAAATATGCAGAGCCATAAAGTCTATAATATGCTATGCAGTTTATGTTTACAGGGACATAAATATGTATATTTGCAAAAGTTGCCAGGAGATCCTTGCCAGAGCAGAATAATCATTCACTTTTTGAAGATTATTTTGAGACTGCACTTTTTATTTATTCTGCAAATCAATTATTTCCTACTTAAGCCGTGTTTGTAAAGCTTTTGTAATTACTAAGATGTTTCAGATCATTTTGGATAGAAAACATTTTACTTTTCACACCATAAACTAGATGCTTCCTTGTAATATCTTTCATGCCAACAATTTTTTGGCTTTAGGGTCCCTTAGCAATAGACAATATTCTCACAATATTCTGCATCACTGAACTCATGACCCTTCATGTTCAACTTGTCAGCTGTTATGACAAGAACGTTTGCAAAAGGTAAACTGCATTTATGAAAATACTACATCAGAAATCCTACTGATAACACCAGTGCCAAAGAGAACTTGATCCAAATGCGTTAATAATTGCTAGATAAGGCTCATTTAACATGAGATGAATGATGAGATATGGATATGTAATATTAAACCTGACAATTACTTCACTGAAGGTGTGGCTGCATACTTTACGATTGGCAAAAACGCAACAATCTCCAGAATATCCCGACACAGACCTCAGTTTATCAGCCATCACATAAAGCAAACCCCAGGAATGTCAGAGAGATAATTAGCATTCAAAACTATTGTGAATCAATAGCAGAATAAGATTGTAAATGTTAGAGAAAACTATAAAAGAATCCTTTAGTTGATGGCAGCAGTAAAAGCCACACATGCTATGATCTCAGCAGCACGGCACTACATCCATTTTAGTCATTCAGTGAGTCAAGGTGGATTGTATGTTTGCGTTATTGTTGTAGCTTGGAATTGTAAACTGCCTCATCTGATTCATATGTTCCCCACAAATATTTACTCCCATCTGTGCACTGTGTACAAGCAGGAATTAAGCCAACAGACAATGAGCCTTAGAATGCAAACTTGGCTTGCGATGTCGTTATCCACAACAACGTATAACAGGATTGTAGCCAAAAATTCAATTACCACCTCTGCATTGAGTATAAACGGGGAGCCGGTGGCCCGTTCTGAATGCACTCTCTGTGCACCAAGTCAACCTGTCTTTCTTGGACTTATAAGAGGTTTAAGCTGTCTCATAAAGTGCATCCAGACTGTGTGCTACTTGGCTCAGAGTGCTGTAAACGTAAGGATAGTTTACTGTGGGCATTACAGCAAACTTTCCAATCATTTTAAGATTGTTTTGTTGGTTTTTTACCACGGGCAACCACTCAAATCAACTTAATCAACAGTTGAGTCTAGATACACGCTTAAAATAGAGTCCAAACATCTAAGAACACTAATGAAAATGCTTCTATTTTGCTTTTTATTTTTACAAATTATATAAACGGAGCATTTCCAATAGGAAAGGCCCTAATTATGAGCATCATTTTGAGTAAAAAAAAGTTGAGTTGAAAAAATTACATTTTAGAATGTCAAAAAACTAGAAAATCTAGAAAATTAGTTTGACTATTATTTTAAACCATGTTTGCGTTTGAACTTAAATTCACCCGTTTTCATTAGAATACACCAAGCAGGATTAGCAGTCTCTCTCTCACACCACAAAATCAGGGAGTGAGCACATACTTATATAACAGCTCAAACAGTAAGGGCCTGCAGACTGGGCTTATGTTTTGACTGAAAATGTAATGCAGAACTGTCAAGTGGGTCAGCAACGGGTTTCGCTGGCAGGAATCGGATGCATGTGCAGAGATTACATTTAAAGGCTTATGAACTTTCTGCATGCCTGGCCAGCTGTGACAGAAACAGCATCGCATCATCAAATTTCAAGTGTGTCCCTGAAAAATGACAGAATCATTTGCATCTTAGGTTGAAGCAGATGAAAACTAACCAAACAAATGATGTACATTTTACATTACAGTATACTGTATATGGGTGGCAACATCCCGAGTAGGATAAATATGATATAGTAACAAAGCAATTTTGGACACACAACTAGAACCTGTGAAAACTATACACCAATCAGGCATAACATTATGTCCCCCTTCCTAATATTGTATTGTTCCTCCTTTTGCTGCCAAAACAGCCCTGACCCGTCGAGCAGATCCTTTGTCCTGTAAGTTGCGAGGTGGGGCCTCCATGGATCGGACTTGTTTGTTCAGCACATCCCACAGATGCTCGGTTGGATTGAGATCTGGGGAATTTGGAGGCCAAGTCAACACCTTAAACTCGTTGTTGTGCTCCTCAAACCATTCCTGAACCAAGACGCACACGCACCCGGCCATCCACGTGATGTTAAAGAAAACGTGATATATCAGACCATGCAGGCCACCTTCTTCCATTGCTCCATGGTCAGGTTCTGATGCTCACGTGCCAACTGTTGGCTTTCGGCGGTGGACAGGGGTCAGCATGGGCACCCTGACTGGTCTGCGGCTATGCAGCCCCATACGCAACAAACTGCCATGCACAGTGTATTCTGACACCTTTCTATCAGAACCAGCATTAACCTCTTGAGCAATTTATTTGAGCTACAGTAACTCGTCTGTTGGATCGGACCACACAGGCCAGCCTTCGTTCCCCACATGCATCAATGAGCCTATAGGCCGCCCATGACCCTGTTGCCGCTTCGTCACTGTTCCTTCCTTGGACTACTTTTGATAGATACTGACCACTGCAGACCGGAAACACCCCTCAAGAGCTGCAGTTTTAGAGATGCTCTGACCCAGTCGTCTACACTCAAAAAAATAAAATGTTGGATTTACTTTAACAAAAACTTCGTCAAGTGGGTTCCACATAGCTTTGTTAAGTAATCTCAACAAACAAAATATAAGTTGTATTTACTAAAAAAGTTTGTGTAAAGTTGACAAGAACTCCTTAAATACAACAGTAATCACAACAAGAAAATGTAAGTTGCATTTACTAAATTGTTTGTGTAAAGTTGACAATTTAAATGTTGCATGGACTAAAGAAATCCTAGTAAAGTCACTATTACATATACATAATGTTATGTTGTATGAACTAAAGAAATCCTAGTAAAGTCACAATTCAATTCAATTCAATTCAAATTTATTTGTATAGCGCTTTTCACAATACATATTGTTTCAAAGCAGCTTTACAGAAAGTGCATTTCAGAAATGTACATAGAAAAAATACAGTTAGTTAATCATGTATTAATTTAGGGCATAACATATCGCCGGCGTTGAGTCGTCTCTTCACAGGCGTCGAGTCGTCTCTTCACAGGCGTTTAGTCGTCTCATCGCAGGTGTTGGGGCATCTGAAGTC